TATGTGCACCTGGAAGGAAAAGAAGTTTCTCTCTAGGTTGTCCAACTAGGATGCATTGACCCAGATTGCAAAAAAGCCTGAGTCCTGCTGTGTTGTGGGCCCTCACTAACGGCTAGGTGAGGGGAAGGTAACTCAGAAATTTGAGAATCAGCTGGACCACAGCATCAAAACCCACGGAGCATATGGTTTCATGATAGTAAGGAACACAGAAATTTCATGCACTGAGAGTCTGTATATAATTAAGACAGATCAAGAAAGTGGCAGTCAATATGATCTACTGCAGGAGATCAAAGAGGCTGCAAGGCTAGAGAAGACAGATTTAATTTCATCTCTGTATAGATTAACAGATAATATAATTTAAAACTCCTGTAAGTGACTGCTGCTTCAAACAACTAGTTAGAGAAAGCATAAAAAGAGAAGCACCTTTGGAATTACGCATGAAGAACTGGTTTAAAACTCTCTCTCCTCTTGCAGGGCAGTCAAATTCAGCATTCTTACAGGAATGAGAAGGCCTCACTAAAAACAACTTAATCAAACCAAGAAAACCTTTAAAAATAAAAATCCAAGATTGCTAATGGCAATCATAGGGTTTATAGACTACGTATTAGACATTCAGAGAAGATTAATTCCTCTAGCTCAAAACGATTCAAGCAATACAATTAAACTAGCAAAAAATAATCTATTTAAACAATAAAAAAGAACCTCCCTGAAAAGCAGAAATTATATCTAATAGAAAAGGACATAAATGGCGACAGATTCTGGAAAGTCATGCTTTTAGTAACATGTACATAAATTTAAGGAATAACTTGCTAAGTGCTTAAATGTTGCTAAGAAGTACTTCAGATAAATCAGAATCAGAAAGACTGCAAGAGATTCAAATTCAGTAGGAGTTAAATATGGTTATGGTATAATCAAGTTATAACCAGACATCTCAAGAAAGAAAAGGTCACAACAGAAAAGCTAGATTAATTCTTTGTATCAGTGAATAGGAGAGATTAGGGAATTTCCCACTTGGGAGTCTGTTCATGGGGACCATTCAGAAGAACTGTCTCAAACGGAAGTGTCAGGTTTAGAGTAAGGTCATAAAAGAAGAATAAAAATTCATCAGGCATACATCATATGTATCCATGGCTTCTGAATGTAGTTGAAAATTGAGTTGCTTGAAGTATTAAATACAATTTATAAAACTTTTAAAAACTGACATAAGTATTACATAAATAAAAGCTGTTTATCCAGTTTTTCAAAGAAAGGTGGAGAGTTCCAGGAAACTAAAATCAGAAGGTCTGCCTCCTGTACCAAGCAAATTAGTAGAACTACAGTAAATGGTTTATACTGTTTCTGAACTGTGGCAAAAATAGGTAAAACTGAAGATCAGGTTTTTTGTAGCAGACAGTCTGCCTTCTGAATCTGTTTGAAGGATTCAATGAACATGTGAACAAAGGCTCATTTGATTAATATTGTATTTTGATTTTCAAAAAATTTGCCAAGATTCTTCACAAAGACCATGAAAGAAAGTGTAATAGAATAAGGAGGAAAGGCTCTTTCAGTGCTTAGTACTTGGTTAAAAGAATAAATGGACCATTTTCACAGTGATGATCAATATGAACTGTTGAAAATACTCATACTTAACCTAGAAAGGGGATGAGTAGGAAGGTGGCAAAGTTAGCAAGTACAAAATCTTTCAGCATAGAAAAAATGAAAGAACTGCAAAATGTTCAGAAAGATCTCAAGATAGCCAGTGGCAGGGTAGTAAAATAACTGATGAATTTCTATAGCAATTAAAGGAAAAGTAGAACACAGAGAAAAGTACTTCTACTTGTACATTCATTGCAGCCACTTCTGAATTAGGCACTACCAGTTGTGAAAAAGTTCTTAGAATTACCTTGGACTGTGCCCTGGGTGTATCAGCTCAATGCTGGGTCAGCAGTAGTCAAAAAGGTCAATAGAGCCTAAAGAAATATTACTGGTGTTTAAAAAACAAAACTGAAAAAAATTATCAAACCATTTATAGGTCCAAAATATGGACTCCCTTCTCCTTAAATAGGTTAGAAGAACTGGAAACAATGAAGAGGACGACAGATTTTCAGCCATAGGAAGCAGTTTCTGTGTAAGAGCTATTAAATAGGAGGTTTTGGCATATGAAATAAAAATGTCGTATGGGATATGACAGAGGTATATTGAAATCTCAGATGACATGGAGAAACTGAGTAGGGAATAGGTACTTGCTGTGCCCTGTGATATGAGAACTAGAGGGCAATAAATACAGGCTTAACACGGTGCTTTCTTTCACACTGCACATGGCTAATTGTGGAACTTGCTGCTAGTGAGCTTTATGGATTCTGAAAATAAAAGTATGTTTAAAGGCAATTAGGTGAACTAGAGGAAGAGTTTATCAGGGACTTGTTAGATGCAAGGAAATAGGGATACATTTCAGTTTAGATCTCTAATATATGTATTTCTGGAAGCTCAGAATTCAGATTACTATATGGTTGCTGTATTCTTGCATGCTTTATTCTAGCCTTTCTCAGACAGGATACTAAGTTAATAGGCATGTGGTCTGATCCACAGTAAGTGCCATTATGTTATGTCTACCAAAAGTGTTGCTTTAGCACTCTAAAACACATCTGATAGTAGTAGTAATGATGAATCAAACATGTCTCATGTTTTCTCCCTCTTCCCATAGATATGTTGCCTGGTTTCTGTCACTGCAAGACTGGCTATGCAGGAGAGAGCTGCAATAGGTGTGCCTTGGGTTATATGGGATATCCTGAATGCCTGCCCTGCAACTGCTCGCTGCAAGGCAGTGCAAATGCCAACCCTTGCATAGGTCCCTGCATCTGCAAGGTATGGATGTCAAATTCTTCCGAGCTGTCGGAAGATACTAATGATATTGAAAGCTATCATACAATAGTGTTACACTGTCCTCCCTAGATGTTTTAATATGTATGCTACTCACTTCTCATAGAACACTTGTTCTTGGTCCTGTAATGTCTTATATTGTCTTGTGTCATCCCAGAACTCACTTTAATTAGCATAGGTACCTAGGAGACTGTTGCTGTCATAAAAGTCCTTAGAAATCAGTAATGAAGGGATACTTAAGAAGCCTGTGAGTTATTTGCTTCAAACTCCCATCCTCATCTACTCAGAAACTCTATGTTTAAAGTATTATGAGCTCTAAAACTAAACTGTAATGTGACTTCAAAAAGAAAATGTGGTGAATTGATGAAGTATTAAAACAAAAAATAAAGCTGCCTGTTAGGAGTTGTCATTAGGGACATTAGGGTCTCCACCAAATTATATATTGATATTACATTACCTCTTAAAAAATACCTAGTTACTAGAAATGCTTTAGAAATAGTGGTGCCGTGGTTTAGTAAGTGACTGAGAATATGCCCAAAGGACAACTTGCTGTATTGTGGGTCAGTTTTTCTGTGTTGTACTTGTGGGAGTTTCCTTCCAGCATTTAATTGACAAAATTAGTCACAAATTTGAATTTAAAAAGACTTACATCACATCCTTAAATACACAAATGTACAAAAAATACTTCAATCTATCAGTTCATGCTGCATGCACACATAAAGCTCTGGTGTGATAGCTGAATAGTGCTGAAATCTACTCAGAGAATTTACCTTATCCTCACTTTATGTAACAGTCACATGCTCTTGTCAGAAATAAAGTCTATCCATATCACAGTCCAAATTCCTGAGCTATCAAATCTAGAAGATCAGAAAAGGGGCTCTTTTGCTGTAATCTGACTTGAAAAGGAGCTTTGATGAAGGTGTTATCTATATACAAAAATATACGTAATTATAAGTAAATATAAAAATCTAAATATAAATAGAAAATAACTATTGCTTCATTATTCTTATTATTATGACATTATTTGTATAATGCCAAATTGACCTGTTAGCACAATCAGACCAAAATGAACAAACATGGAATTGAGATAATTGTTCCTATTCCAGAGAGTTCTCACTATATACACTTTATGTCCTTTCTGCTACTCTAATTCCTTTTTAAGAGCTTGTGCGAGAAAAATGATACCATTTTCAGACAGCTGAGACACATACATACACATTTATTTTCACTACCTATTTTCAAATTCAAATCAAAGCAGATTATGGTCAAAGGGACACTGAAATCATCAGATTAGTTATGCTCCATATGAAGAAGAAAGTTGGCTGTCTGGTTAATAATAGGTCTTAGAAAAAATGCTTCCTTTCTTTTAATCACATCTTTCAGTTACATATGATGAGCTCTAAATTTACTAAAGCTAGTTTTCTTGTAAAGGAAATTGACTGCTGGAAAGCAGTTCTAACCGTAAGCAGCAAACTGCAACAAAGCGAGCATTAGATTGTTATCTTTACCCCATTAACCAGAGTAAACTAAGGTACAGAACGGTGGGGAACAAGTGTAAATTTTTTTTCCACTAATTATCTCGGAGAGCTTTCTGAAAGTATATTCTCAAAGTCTCATCTTTACATAATTTAAAACTGGACTGAACACAGTATTCAGAAATAAATGAGGCTGTGGAAACATTGCTTCATTGGCTGAAGGATAGGTTGAATCTCCTTTCCAACTTGGAGTTATTCACTGAATTTGCTGCCTACTCAACAGAATTATACAGTTTTTACTCACTGATGATGTACTTGTGATTGCAGAGTAGGGCAACTTTTCATTTAAACACATGTTTTTGCTTTGCAGCTGTCTTTTTTTATTTCCCTCTTCCCTCACTGCATACACTAAGCACATCAGCAAGGTCTGACACTTTTGTGACCATAATACCACGCTTCTGCGACCAGTGTTCATAATTCTGGTTTCTAAAATTGGCCATGACAGCATTTATGTGTCTGTGAGTTCCCAAATGTTACCCACATTATTTTTCATATAATGCATGAGTAGATGGGTTGTTTCAGCATATCTGTGGTAATAATATGCATTGATTAATCCTGAGATTGCTCGTGAAAATGTAGAAATACATTTTCTCACGTATGAAATGTAGAAATACATCATTTCATTAATTTCAAGAATTAATGAGATGTTGAAGTTAAAAGTAATTGACTGATAGACTTGAGTTGTATTAAAAAGATTTTTAGTTTGTTGAGCAGAGTCTACATGATGTTGTTGAAGGCAATCATAAATACAGCTCAGCAACAGAGACAGAAAATATTTTGCTACACTTGTTGTTACTTTATAATCAGTGGTGAAAACCTATTTGTATTTTCATTTCCTTCTATATCTGTCCTTACCTCTCCCCCCTCACTGTTCTCTTGATCTATGTGTGCTATCCTTTCTCCCCATACCTTCACATGTTTTGCCCTGCTTTTTCCATCATTGCTAGATCTTAGCCAGGAGGCTACCAAATGGCTTTTGGTGAACTTACTTCAGAGCTGCATGTTTCAAGCAATCATAGACTACACAGTGTGGGCAGGCTTTTTATAATGTCTTCTCTGCTGACATGCAGCCAACAATATGGTCCTGTGTACATACCATAAAGCACTGTCTCCAGGATTAAAAAAACTGTATATAACACTTTTGAAAGGGAAAGAATTTTCTGGGCTATCTTGGGGGAAAAATACTGAATTACTAAACCAGTACCATAACATGAGCCTTTTGCAACATGCATCCTGTGTCCTGTTATTTACATGCAGCCAAAGCAACTTTTACTGTGTAGGGGAGTTACTTCTAATATTCACAAAAAAAAATAGTTTTTCCTATAAATGTCTTTATAATCCTGCATTTGTACTCTCCTGCAAAGTATAAAGCTGGTGATCTCAAGCAATATTGTAATTGCATTTACAGGAACATGTTGAAGGAGAAAACTGTGATCGCTGCAAACCAGGTTTCTTCAATCTGCAGCAGAATAATCCCAAAGGCTGTGAGGAGTGTTTCTGCTCTGGGAAAACAAACATCTGCACACACTCTCACCTTACCTATGGAAGTGTAAGAAAAATCATACCCTATCAGTACATGTCACTGAGTTTGTGTTTTTGTGTGTTGTCGCTGTTCATTGTCACAGAGTTCATCTTATTATAAAATCATGCATGTTCTTTTATGCCCCATATATTTTTAATTTATTAAGATGAAAATGTTTATAACCTTTGTTTCTCCTAATTGTGAGAAGGTTCTGAAAAAGTGCAGTTAAATCTATAAAAAATGCAAAAGAAGCAGTAAAAATGAAGTAAAAAAATCTACATAAACACAGTCCTGGATTGTGCATACATAATCAGTCCTGAGTTAAATGCAACACATCTATAGGGCAACCTCTTTTCCAGGTAATTATTAAATTTCTAGACCTGAAATAATTAAGGATTTTTAAACATTAAATGTACAACACATACGTTATGTAAGAAAAAGGGATGCCTTGCAGGAGGCATTTTGAGTGGATTTCTTTTGCATACTGCATTCCCAGGGAAGGATGTCAAAGGGAGATGAACCTACTGTTCTTATTTGTCTTGTAAAAAAAAATAAATCTTTAGCCTGCAAATATACTCTAAATAAGTTGACAAAACTCAGACACTGAATCTGCTGTAATGGGTGTATACTACATATTCATGTCTGTAGAGAGAGTTTGGGAACTGTGTTCCAGGTCTATTAGCTCCTGGTTTTGGTTGTATTGGTATGCTGGAAGTCTGCGAGTAAAATTGTATATGCCTAGTGTGCTCATTTACATGCCAGCATCTGGAAAATCTTTCATCCCACGGCTGAACTAATTTATTGTTCTGCTTGTATCCGGGCGTCAGAAGCTTTGTATGAACAGTGTGCTCTTCTCTGGTGATTCATTCATGATGGGATTTCAGAAATTCAAGTTCTGGTGCTTTCCAGCTTTGCTGTGGCTTCCTGAAATAAGTGTATTTGACTTTTCAAGTTGTAAGGTTTAGAACTAAAAATTATTACAAATTATACTGTCTACAGCAATCAGAAATTGCATATCCATTTGTCAGCTCCCCTTCGGTACCCTCTGTGACTAATATTATTTATTGAAAACTGGTATAGTATTTGGAGATATTCTTATGCATATGTGTGTACAATAGAATTTTCTCCTTGTTCTGGACCATATGAAGCAGAAAAAGCAAATACTTGCAGTTAATTCAAACTACTCAGCATTTGTAACTCCCAGACATGTATAACAGGAGAAATTTTTGCTGTTACTTTGTTTCCTTTGTTCCTCAACAGATTTAATCATATAATCAGTTTTTTAAAAATGGAAGAATGAGAGGCTCTAACTTTTGAAATGACTGATGTCATGACTGGTGTCCTGTTTCTCACTGTGATGTGTTTTGTTTTGTCTTGTTTTTCTGTTATAGATAGAAGACATGAATGGCTGGTATCTGACTGACTTACCAGGTCTCATCAGAGTTACCCTCATGCAGAAGAGATTTGGTGGACGTCAGCAATATAGCATCAGCAACGTGGCTGCACGAAAAGTACTACCACAGACTTATTATTGGAGTGCACCTAGTTCTTATTTGGGCAACAAAGTAAGTGCCGATGGTACTTGCCTAAACGCTAATTCGATTTCTTGAGAAAAGAAGTAAGGCTTTGAAGTGGGGTGGAACTGAGGGAAGATTAGATTGGATAGCTATTTGACCAGCAAAATTGCAAGCAGAAAGGAATCAGGCTTATGGAGCACCCTTGTGAGGCAAGATGTTAAGCAGAGAAAATTAACTAAGAATCTTTGACCTTGAGTCTTTGGGCTTCTCCTGTTAAGTATTAGAGAAGTCTACATAGTTCACAGCATTATTTTTTGAATGAATTAGCTGGTCTGTCATTCAGCTTGTCCTGTTCTCTTGTCCTCAGTTCTGAAAAACAGTTCTCTCATCAGCTTTTCAGAGATATGTGTGTCAGATGTTGTGGGGGTGTGTTACAAAACTTTAATGTTTGGCAAGAAACTTGTGTGTGGGGAGCTCCCTGCCCTAGAACTCAGAAAATTGCTGTTGTGAGCCCTGTGCCAGTTCTAATCCAAGTCTGCATGTGTCCATGCATGTACACACATATTCATGCCCTGCAGGTTAATTCCAAATATTTGCTTTCTAAAGTCTTGGATGCTTTAGTTGTCTGACTGTCAGGCTTCTCACCATTAGATTTTCTGCTATCATACACAATACCTTCATGAAAGTCTTATTTTTTCCAGAGAGTAGAATCAAGGACTGAATGAGTTCTAAATGTGAAGAAAGCTAAACAGCCTTCCATTTACTGTAACCCTAAATATGCTAAAACTTATCAGAAATGTTAACATTAATGCACTTGAGCACATTTTCCTCTGTAGTCTCTTCAGGCTAGTCAACCTCTTATTTTTTCCTTCCTCTTGGCTGAAAATCAACATGACAGAAGGTAAGTGAGCATGTTGAAACTAAATAGCATCATTGCAAAGAATTGGGCATCCTGTTCATGGCCGTAAATTGTCAGGCTCATTGAGTAGGCAAGGGAGAGTTTCTTCTGTAATCTTCCATGTCTGGTGAACTTACCATGAGATATGAACTGATACTTTTCCAGGCAGAATTTCTTCCTGGAAAGTGAGCAAAATAATGGTAAGAATGTGCACAAATTATTTGAACATGGAAGATATTTTTTCAGTATAATTTGGAGGCCCTTTGTGGTTGCTGTCAGGTATCTCTATATGGATGAAGCAATTTGCCTTAATAACTGAACCATATAAAATTTTGATACTACAATAATACTGAAAGCACTCACAAATTACCACAGTACATCGTAACTGTCATGTTGCATTAGGTAAACTATAGTCATAATGACATGCTTAGGCCATATGATTTATGCTATGGAAAGGGAAATAGAAATAGGATATTGAGAGTCCTTATTTGTAAAATCAGTAAAACATTTCTCTAAATAGCTGAAAATTGATAAAACCAAATATCTGAAACTACATAAAAACATCCTTACTTGAGAGTGATTGCCAGCTGGGTTACAGTAGAATAATCGGTATCTCAGAGCAGGCAAGCTTCTTTAACAATTTTTGTCTTAGGAAATGTAGAGAACAATTTAGGAATCTTATATCAAGATGTACACATCTATTGCAATTTATAAACCTTGTGTCACAGAAAACTACCTTTCCTTTTTACTGTTAAAATTATTGCTCTTAAATTGAACAACAAAAAGTAGTAACCATCCTGCATTTCCTAGTTTTCCAATACAGCTCAAAAGGCTTATTTAAAATAATTCTTTTAATTTAAATTTGGCATGTTGTGCATATGCCTTCACAATGTTGATTGCAATACGTATGCCATCTACTTGTTTTACGTCCATCTCCAAATGTTCTTTTGGATGAGAAAAGCGTAAATAGGATGCTCCTGAGTGTGCAGCCTTCAGCTCTTTCTTTTTTGCCTAGATCTGGGTGGCACTAGCCTATGTGATACTGGTGTCTGACTGTGTCCTTACAGACACATTATACCTAACGAGGCTATAGATGGTAGGGGATTCTTGTTTGTCAGAGTGGGACAAGAACACGGGCAAATTACTTTAACATCACCACCTCCTTTTAGTCTTAAAAATGTATATGCTGCTACCAAAACTTTAACTTTGTTTTACAAACTCAGAATTTTTTTTTTAAATCCAGATATTTCACCTGTTTGACTATATAACATGCATTTGAAGTGAAAAATTTAACACTGTTTTTGATACAGAATACGTTTGGGAGTAATTGGAGGAATTTAATTTCTAGAAATAAAATATCTAGTGGATAATTTGGAAGAACAGATTTAAAATGGCTAGTATTACGATTTTAGTAGGTACCATAAAACAGTTTATCTTCCTGCCTGCCTGCCTTACCATAGCCTACTGAAGTAAGGATTGCAGCAATCATGAGGACTTGTGGTCTTCTTGAGTTTCTAATTACTGAAAAATTGTCTTATTCTATCAACTCTGATTACATTTCAGGTGTTTGAAAACCCCATTTGGTTTTTGTTAACAGTTTCTTAAATTGTTTTGACAATGGATCTGTAAGTTTATTTTAAACTTGAGTCCATACTAAAATATTTTATAAACTTTTCTGAAAGTGTTATGAGTTACATTCTGGTAATGTTTGATTAGAGCAGTGAAAGAAAAGTATAAAATTAATTAAAAATTAGATATCAAGCTCAGCAGGATGATGTGGAACACTTCTTTAAAGTCAGTGTGAGAGGGTTAGGTGTCTGTGATGTTACAGAAGCCGGAATTATCTATATACTCTGCCTCTTTGACACCTCAGCAAAAAGCAATTTGATAATTTGTATTCTGAATAGAAGCTATTAGCCAAAAGAAAACATGCTGTGGAGCACATCTGAAGTCTTTCTCCCCCATCACACTCATACATGAGGGGCAACTGAGGCCCTTAAGATTCCATGAGGAAACATCCATCTTTGCTTACAGAAAGTCTCTCTGCTGCTGTAGTGTTTTTGTTCCTTTCCCTGCTAAAGGCCAGCTTTAACCATGAAGGTGGAGATGCACCCTGAATCTTTCAGATGGTTAGAGCGCTCGCCTTGGTTGACATTCACAGGTTAGTTCAGCCTTTAGGTGGAGGCCATCCTAGAATCCAGGTCTCTGAACATTGTTAGGTCTCAACACCCAGCAGTCATACAGAAAATAGATAATACGTTTGCTCTAACCCTTCTATCTGGGTTTTGAGCAGATATTAGTGCTGCCATTGCTCAGATTGCAAACAACATGGCAGAAGCCCTAAAACCCCTCAGCTCAGAAACACTCTTTGCTTACTGACAGATTTTACTCAGACCAAGAAGTTTCTTGCACCAGGAGTCATTTGAACTATTTGTACAGCATGATCCCATTCAGTGTAAGTAAAGTTAATGTGACTTGGTCCTTCATGCAGAGTACATAGAAAATTAAAGCAAAAGATGCCTGGATAAAAGAGTTTGTTATCTCTTGGAAACATTCTAGCACATGGTGTTTGTCAACTCTGTAGACTGAAGCGGCCATATGGTGGATACATTGTTCTTTCTCTGACCTCTACTTAAAACAAAGACAATAGCTGAAAGTTCTGTGCAGAGTCTGTGCATACAGAACAGGAAGGGAACTTGTCTGACTTGACACCGTCACTTCATTTATTTTGCCAGTTCTTTTATAATTAGCTGTGTAAACTATTTGCTGACTTATAGAAGTCAATGTTTCTTTGACTCCAGAAATGAAGACACTGTAATAAGCCTGTAGTCAATATGTACAAACTTTAAAAATCTATCAGTCCTTTAAAAGTACTCTACTGTGGAAAGCTAAAGATTGGAATAGAGTGAACAGTTTGTTTTGTGACATATTATCTATTGCAGACTGCCCAGAATACCTCATAGGATTAAATATTGAATTATAAAATAATCATAAGCCAGGTCCTTGTGGCTTTTATGTTTATTTGCTTCCATTTGTTTTCATTTCTTAGGCAATTCTGATGCAAAAGGCAGAATAATGCAAAGCAAATTGTGGTCTACAACTCCCAGGGGGAGGGAGGGAGTTGAAACCCAAAACATAAAGACGCATAAATAATACAGTAATCAGCTGGAACAGAAATGCCAGGATCAATTGTCCTAAATTATTAATGCATCTAAATCCAGAAAGCTTCATCTATGTTCTGAAAACATGACAATGTTTTCAGAACTCAAGACTTTCTTATTCACAGGATATGATAGAGTTAGATAGATCCACAATTCACTTTATTGCTTTTACTGTATGCCTCAAACGGGAGAAAATCTAACTTAACACATTTTGGTATAAATAGACGAGAAGCAAATTAAATTGTGTTTGGAAGCTACATTTTTATACCACCAGTTTGTTTTGAAATTCAGTGGCCTCACAAAAAGCAGTGAGTGACCTAGCCTATGTAATTCCAACACTCAGCTGTGCCTTAAGTTTAGCCAGAAGACTGATTTTTTTGAGCATGTGTCCATATTGCTTTTATTGTCAGGGAAATGAAGTAGTGAAACTTGAGTGGGCTGATGTGATCTCCCTTTCTGCACCTTTAGAAGATAAGTCTTTCTTTCAGTTGATTATATGGACAGTTTAAGCCCTCATGTAGAAGATTTGGTTACCTAGTGCAGATGATTGTCCAAGTCTAAGCAGGCCACCATTAGGTAACATAACAGCAGTGCTTGAAGTGTCTGCAGTGATATTAAGTCCAGTACTTGATGATGAATTTGCCTTTTTTATACCCTCTGCACAGAAATGAATTCCAGCCCCAGATCTGAATGTGTAATGAAGAACATCTCCAAGCTTGCAGAAGTAAATTGGGGATGGAGTAGGGAATGTGATCCTCAGTTATAAGGCATGACATATAAAAACAATTTTGTACGTACATTTATTGATTCTTAAAGTTCTGTAAGTTTGAGTGGGAGGAAATAGTGAAGTTATATGTATGTTATCCATATTTGTAAAAGGAACAGTAATAGGCATCAGCAGCACATACTATGCAAGAAATCTCCATTCAGAGGAATGCCCCTGAAGTTACTCACAGTTGCTGCAGATATCACATTTTTTAATTAGTGTC